GCAAAGAAATTGGTTAAGTATGTGGGTAAATATAAAAATGGATTATTAAATAGAACAATACTTCTTTCTAACATGTCAGGTTAAAAAAACACTAGCATTTCAGAAGTTTTCAGATCCTTGTGTATTTTAGGAGGATAGAGATGCCAATAAATTAAATTTTGGTAAGCTATTTAGGCATGTACAGATTTTGAAGATGATAATTAAAGGAACAGAAAAAGAGTACGAGTTTTATTTTTTTTTAAGGATTTCATTTACTTATTGAGAGAGAGAGAGATAACACAGGAGAGGCAGAGGGAGCAGCAGACTCGCTGCTGAGCGGAGAGCCCGATGCGGGGCTCGATCTCAGGACCCTGAGACCATGACCTGAGCTGAAGGCAGATGCTTAGCCCACTGAGCCACCCAGGCGCCCCAAGTATATGAGTTTTAAACCAGTAAATCAGGGGGCGGGGCGGGGGGAGAGTAAATTTAAAAACTCTTACTCCATAATAAGGCAAGAAAGGAAATGGGAAAAGTGGAAGAGGTCAAAATAAGATGGTAAAAATAAATCTCAATACATTAGCAATTACAATAAACATATGAGGGTGCGATTCTCAAGCCAAAAGACGAAGATTGTTGACCTGGATTAAAAAAATCCACACCAGGGGCGCCTGGGTGGCTCAGTCGTTAAGCGTCTGCCTTCGGCTCAGGTCGTGATCCCAGGGTTCTGGGATCGAGCCCCACATCGGGCTCCCTGCTCTGCAGGGAAGCCTGCTTCTCCCTCTCCTAGTCCCCCTGCTTGTGTTCCCTCTCTCACTATATCTCTCACTGTCAAATAAATAAATAAAATCTTTAAAAAAAAAAAATCCACACCAGGGTGCCTGGGTGGCTCAGTTGGTTAAGCGACTGCCTTCGGCTCAGGTCATGATCCCGGAGTCCTGGGATCGAGTCCCACATCGGGCTTCCGGCTCAGCGGGGAGCCTGCTTCTCCCTCTGACCCTCTCCTCTCTCATGCTGTTTCTCGCTCGCTCTCCAATAAATAAATAAATAAAATCTTAAAAATAAATAAATAAATAAATAAATCCACACCAGAGGCGCCTGGGTGGCTCAAATGGTTAAGCATCTGCCTTCGGCTCAGGTCATGATCCCAGGGTCCTGGGGTCGAGCCCCACATTGGTCTCCTGGCTCAGCAGGGAGCCTGCTTCTCCTTCTCCCTCTGCCTCTCCCCCTGCTCATGCTATCTCTTTGTCTCGAATAAATAAAATCTTTAAAAAAAAAAATCCAAACCAAACAAAATCAAGGTGCATGTGGTTTACAAAGAACATACTTAAAAAAATGTAAGGACACAGAAAGATTGAAAATAAAACGGTAAATAATCCCAAGGCAAACTAACCCAAAGCCAGCTGGGTCGACAGCAGCAAACAGGAACGGTTACTGACAGAGCCTGGCTCTACAGTGATAAGAGCGCCAGCAGGGAGAGCAGACGTTGCTGAACTGTAGGCACTTAGTCACAGAGCATCAAAGCGCCCCAAGTGCCCAAAGCACCGGCCCGCTCCAGGGAAACCCTGACAGTCCGCCAGCAGAGGGCGCTCTACAAGGCTCGCCCCAGGCGACAAGGATAAGGAGACTGCTCCGCTGGGCAGGGATGTTTCAGGGGAGCACATTAAAGGAACTCCTCATCCGTCCCTCTCAGTCGCGGCGGTGTGTACGTGCTGCGAACCGTGCACCTCAGCCTGTGGGGCTACGGAGTGTGGGTGAGCATGTGGGACTCACAGGATACCGAATAAGTGACCAAACCGGACACCCCGACCCCAGTTCAGGACACCTCTGACTGCCCAAGACTGGCATCGTGGGTGTCGCCAGATGACCATGGGGAAGAAGACCAAGGATGGATTTCATCTGTTCAGTACCTTTTCCCAGCTGGGGAGAGTTCTCAGGGCCTGTCTGGAACCTAGCGACCCTCTGCTGTCTAAGCAGACTCAGTCTAAATACAGGACCCTCGTGGACGTCCCTGGGTCGCCGGAGCTCCCCTTAAATTCCCAGAGCCTAGGGAAAGGTCTGATGCACCTGCCTTCACAGCTCTGCCTCGGGCGCTGAAATTGTCTAAGGGCTGAGTGGTTACTTGACGTGAATTGAAGACAACTGGAATGTCAAGCCCCAAGGAAGCTCGAAGACGAGAGTGCAAAACCGTCATCACCTGGTGGCCCAGGCAGTCACTTGGCCAGAGTCATGGAGCCAGTTCCTTCTCCCACGCGAGTTCCTGGGGGCATTGCAGCACCGTGTCCTCAACCGGAACAATGAGGACGGTAAAATGACCTCTCAAATTTGGGAAAATTAATGATGTGAAGGGCCAAACCCCAAGTAGATTCTTCTAATACAGACTTTTGTTTTCTCATTCCGCACGTTCAACGCGCTGCCCCTGGACGGGAGCTGGAACTTGGCCGTGGGCTGACAGCAAAAACGGGATCCAGGCACACTGTTTGCACTTTTGGTCCCTTGAGTGATCTTAGGATTGGACCTGTTCCATCGCATTCGCATCCTAGAGACTGACTTTATTCCTCATGAGTTCAATGCAAGCAAAGGTCATGATACCAACCACCACTGGTTGGAAAAGGAAGTGGATTTTAAAATGGAAATAAAAGCACATTCGCCTTAATAAAGCCATCACACTCAAAGATGGGGACTCCCCAAGAACTGCCCCCCCTTTCCACCCCTGCCCCTCTCCATCTGACACTGCTGCACCCCCAGTTTGGCCTGAGGGGACAGCCAGGGCAGGGGCCTCGGAGCCTGGGGCTCCTGGGGGGGGGTTTGTGCAGTCCTCAGCCCTGGCAACCCCGGCCCAGCCGGACAGCACTCACAGCACTCACAGCACTTGCGGCATCATTCGTTGGCGAAGCCACGGCACAGCCTAGAGGCGCCCTTCTAACAAAGGGGCTGGTGGGACAGGACAGGGGCTGCTGCAATTCCCACGGTGACAAACATCACAGGCAGCCAGAGGAAGCGGAGGCAGGGAGGTGGGCCAGGTTCCCAGTTCCCTTCTGTACAATCCCAGCGGCGGGGTCTCTAACCTCCCTCTCAGCCTTGCCTCGTCCATCCTTCACAGACACCCGCAGGTTTCCTAAACCACAAAGCGTTGTCGATCTGCTCAAACCTCTCCGTGGCTCCCCATCACTCCGCTTCTCAGATGTTTCCAGCAAACCCCCCTGCCCTTACCCTACTTGAACGTGGTACCTTGACCAGCAGCATAGGCATCACGGGGGAGCTTGCTAGAAATCACAATGTCAGGTCCCTAACTATAGAATCAGACCCTGCATTTTGATAAGATCCCAGGAGTTCAGAGGCACTTTAAGTTTGAACAGTGCTGCTTTAGGGGCTTGGTACAGAGCCAGAAGCAGCCCCGACTGTGACTTTTTTAGTGAGTGGTAGATCATTTTAAAAAATTAAAAAACTATCTTTCTTGTCACACATTCAGAAACGCTGATTACTCAGAATATTACAATAGATGGCCTGGTATAAAGTACTCAACAGCAAATCCAGGCGCAGCCTGGAGCACAAATACCCCAGGTGCAGAAGCAGGTACACACAGGGTCAAGTTTAAACTCTTCCAGGTCATATGCAGACCTCTACAACCATGCCTCCTACCTCCCCGTTCCTTGCAAACACCCACAAACCCTATCATGTCACATTTTGACCTACTGAGAGACTCCCAGGGTGAGTTCCGGGATGCCCATTCCCTGCACCTGGGATGCTGTTCGGGTGGCTGAGCTCACGCTTCTGGGCCCAGGCCAAGAGTCACTTGGTCTAATAAGCTTTCTCACACTCCCCAGTGCTCGGTGGAATCCCTCTCTAGTGCTCCCACAATAAAAACACAGGATACCTACATCTCCTTGACTGCCTGTAGCAGGCCTGGGACCACAAACCACATCACTAGTAGGGCCACCTTTCACTTTCAAAACTGCCCGTTTGACAAATGACATGGCTAGTCTCAACAAGTGCTCAGGCCATGAGCCTTGGGACCAAGGCTGGACACTTACACACCTGCACAGTCCTGTAGCAACACCTTCGGAACGCAGTGCGCGCACCGTCCAGCGCCTGCAGGGGCCACTCTGCCCCAAGCACCCCCAGCTGCTTGTGCGCCGCCCCCAACTTCAATTCTTAACCCAGTCTCCTCATACCTGGTCAGATCCCGCCACTCCTCTGCTTAAACCTTCAAACCATTTCCGTGTCCCTTGCAGTCAGAGCGACTGCTCCTGCTGACCTCACCAACTACCATTTTCTCCCAAACCACTTGGGTCTCTTGCTGCTCCTCAGCCCTTTGCCCTGCCTGTTCCACCGACCTAAAATATAGAACACCCTTTCCCTATGCATCCTTGTGTGTATTCCACACGTCCTTGCTCAAATGTCACTTATCAGGTATGTCACCTGACTGCCCTATATAAAACAGCAACCCCTCCCTACCCCGTACCCCATTCTTTTTCTATGGAACTTACTACCTGATATAATTTTTTTCCTGCCTTAGCACAATGAGGCACTGTTCTAAGCTTACAAATGTCAGATCCAAGTGTATAAGCACTTTGTTCACTGATGCACCCCGAGCATCTGTGGGCACCCAACTTACCTGGCAAACCAAAGACCATCACTGGGGGGCGCTGTACTGTGATTATACGTTTACAGAGCGTTTTTTTTTCTTTTAAAGATTTTGTTTATTTGACAGAGAGAGACACAGCGGGAGAGGGAACACAAGCAGGGGGAGTGGGAGAGGGAGAAGCAGGCTTCCCGCCGAGCAGGGAGCCCGTTTACAGAGCTGTCTTAACTTACTAGATCATCTCTCCTGGAAATTCCTAGTGTCCAGCAGACTCTGGAGACGAAATGCTTTCCTGGGGCTCCTTCCTGCTCTGCCTTCTCCTCTCTCCTGTTACAGTCCCTACAGATCGAACCTTCCTTTGGCCTACAGGCTTTTGAGCACATTCCCAGATGAGAAGCACTGGACATTCATTTGACAATAACGACAATCAAAGAGAAACTTTCATTCTGAAAAGAATTTATTTATCTCACCTTTTCCTGGCTTTGGTTATTTGCACAAAGGTTCTAAAAACTGGCTTTCAGCATTTGTTTTTCCAGGCAAGTGAAAAGTTCACCAAAGGAAGCTAGAGCTCTGCTCTCAACCTCTGTGAGGTCTGCTCTGAGGACCTAGGCTGGATATCACCCCAGCCTGGAAGATGCTTCCTGCTATCATTTTGGGGCCTGCCACGGTCAGATCCACGCTCTCCTCCCCAAACCCTCCAGGCCATGCAGTGTCACGTGCAGTTGTGGCAAAGAAGCTCCTGAAATGCACGATTACATCAAAAAGTTTACCCCAAAGTCAGCCAATACACATAGTACCTAGAACTCATCCCCTATTCTAGGTTACTCACCAGACAGGTTACATGATGTGCACCACTTAACATGCCACAGAAAAATTACATTTCTGGAAAAAAAAAAAAAGAGACAAGCAAACAAAGAAAACGAAAAGAACACAGCTCTCCTCCTCTGATCTGAGACTGCAAAATTCCAAAATGCGGACGCCACCCCTCTCCATGCCCAACAGCCAGCCCCCCAGGGGCTTCTCAATCTGATCCAAAGCAGCGGCATCCACATCCTTGACTGGTCTGGGCTCTTGCTTCAGCAGCCGCAGCCACGCAGTGTCTTCTGTCTTGCAGAACTCTGACCGCAAGCCTCTTTCATGCGTCCCCGAATTCCAGGAAGCATAAAAAAAACACAGCAGAGCACAAGAGTATACTTCGGAACTTTAAAAACACGATCAAGTCACAGTAACGAATATGACAACACAGCAGCTTACAATGTAGGCCCTATTCCTTTAGGTAACAGCATTTATCTAAAAGCTGTTTTCTCGAAACTCGATGCACGTAATAATCATACGCATATCCGCATACATAATACTGAAATCCTCTCCCCAGGATGCTACTGGAGATTTAGTATTTAACATGGTGAAAATCTAGGGAAAATACGGGAGAGAAAAGGAAAGACTCTTGGGTTCAGCCTGTCCAGCGAGTCCTCTTTACCAGCTGAACAGAATCCATGCACGGATAAGCGGGAGTACAAGTGGGGAAATCAACCACCACAATTTAAATTCCAAGACTCCCACACCCTGGAGTCAAACCAACCCAACGACCCGTGCAAAATGCTACCGCTTGCTGTCAGGACACGGGCAACGCTCCGATCTCATCACAGCACGTGAAGTTCCTGTCCCGCGCTTCCGTTTCACGCTTCTCTCACTGGCCCCCTCGTCTCTTGGCGCTGGGGCCTCGGCTCTCACCCGACGGCGGGGGCTGGTCCGCCGTCCGCAAATACGTTCCCAGCAGTGGTCTCGACCCTTCACAACAGCGGACCCAAGCACTCGCTTCTAATGCCCGGCGTAGGAGCGCCACCCTTCTCCCGCCGCCCGGCGGGGCACTCCGAGGCAGCGCGCCGCCCCCCGACAGCCCCCGCCGCCCGGCACGTACCCGCCCCGCGTCCTTCAGGAGCACCCGCAGCTCTCCATCTGCCGGTGGAGCTCCACGAGCCTCCGTCCCACCAGCGCCGCCTCGGCGGCCTTCCTCTCCGCCTTCTCGCACAGCTTCCGCACCCGCTGCTCCGCCTCGCCGCCCGCGCGGCGGCCGGGGCCCACGACGCCCTCGGCCGAGGCGTCCACCTCGCTCTGAAGCTCGTCCAGCAGGCTCGCGACCTCCAGCAGCTTCCGGCGGGCCCGCAGGTGCGCGCGCACGTGCTCGCGCTCGAGGGCGGCGACGTCCCGGCGGGCGGCGGCGCGGGCGGGGCTCGGGGGGCGGCCGCAAGGCTGCTCGGGCCCTTGCCGCTCGTCCGCGTCCGCGGGCCGCATCGCGCCGCCCCCGCCCCGGCGGCCCGGTCGCCGCCCCCGAGAGGCCGGCCGGCTGACAGCGAGCTCGCCGTGACGAGCAACAGGTCCTCCCGGCTCTTCGCGGCAGAGACGGCGTCCAAAATGGAGCCCCAGCCGTCCGCCGGAGCTGTGCTCACGTGCGGCCCTTTTACGACACGCCGGAGCTCCTTTGCGGCCGCGCAGCGCCGGCGCCGCGCCCGGCCGCCGTCTGTACGTGCTGGCGCTCCCGGAGCGTGGACGTCGTCGTCCCTGCGCTCGGTTGCCGCGCGTCCTGCTCCCGGGGTGGCGCTTGCTGCCCAGTGCTCTCGCTTCTTAACGTGCTAAGTCCTGAGTAACCGACTCGGGTCGGCGCTGCCGGCATCCTTCAGTGCGGCGAGACTCGAGGTGGCGAGCTCGGCGTCGGGGTTTCGGGGCGCGCCATGGAGGCCGCCCTGACCGCCGCTCGCTCTGCGCTCCCGGGCGGTGGCTCTCCCCGGCGCTGTGCCGCTGCGGATGCTGACCGCCCTGGTCTCCTTGCCGCCCCGCCCAGCGTCCGCCCCGGCTTCTTCCTGCTGCCCTGCGTTTTGGTTCCACGTCTGCGCCTCGCTGTACCGGCGGTGGAGGTCTGGGCCCGCATTGGTGCCTCAGCCCCGCCAGGCGCCAGGTGTGCCCTTGGGCGATAATTGTAGAGGAATTCATTCTTTTTTTTTTTTTTTTTTTTAAAGATTTTATTTATTTGAGAGAGAGAATGAGAAAGAGTGAGTACATGAGAGGGGGGAGGGTCAGAGGGAGAAGCAAGCTCCTTGCTGAGCAGGGAGCCTATGCGGGACTCGATCCCGGGACTCCAGGATCATGACCTGAGCCGAAGGCAGTCGCTCAACCAACTGAGCCACCCAGGCACCCCTGTTAGCCCTTCCCTGAGACAACAGGCTCTGCGGGCAGGTTCTTGGTTATTTCCCCACCGTCCTCACCCGCCTTGGCACACAGCAAGAGCTCAATAAATGCTGCTTTAACATTATTTCCCAACATTTTTTTTTAACTGCTTTTTTTTTTTTTTTAAGATTTTTTATTTATTTATTTGACAGAAAGAGAGACAGCGAGAGAGGGAACACAGCATGGGGAGCTGCAGAGGGAGAAGCAGGCTTCCCGCTGAGCAGGGAGCCTGATGCGGTGCTCGATCCCAGGACCCTGGGATCATGACCTGAGCCGAAGGCAGACGCTTAACGACTGAGCCACCCAGGCGCCCCTTTAACTGCTTTTTTAAAAATTGAAGTATAGTTGACAATGTTACATTAGTTTCACGTGTGCAACTAGTGATTTGACGACTCCATACATTAGCTATGCTTACTGCAAGTGTAGCTACTGTCAACATATTTTTGAATGAGCCTACTGTATTGTCACTGGGATGGATGGGGTAAATTTCTAGGCTTTTTCATTCTGTGTATCTCTAGCAGGTAATATCGGGGAGACCCTACTTGTGGGTTGGCCAGAGGTCAGAGCTCCTTTAGGGTACTCTGTCGTGCAAGTGGCCCCTCCATGTTCAAAGGCAGCAACATCATGTCCAGTCCTTCTTATCGTTTAATCTCTGATATCACCATCTGCTCCTTGCTAAAGAAAACTACTTAAGGGTTTCTTATGATTAGACTAGCTGTGCCTGGAAAATCTCCCTTTTGCAATATAATGTAACATAGTCACAGGAGTAATACCAGAAGCAAATCTCATGGAGAGCCATATTAAAATCATGCCTAGCACAGGCTCCTAGGAATCCTAAGGGCATGATCTCACAGCAGCCAGATAAGACAAAAGTAGCAGTAATTAAGTCTAGAGAGCTAAACAAGAATTGCCTGGCTTTTGGTTCATGAGTGGAAGAGAATAAAATACATAGGAACCCACTAAATTTTTGAGGCAGTCATATTAGCAAAAATGCTGCCACCCTAGATGAAGAAAGACTGAGACTACCCAAAATGTATAAAGGCTTCTAGACTCCCAAATTTCTACTAGCAGAAAGCAGGCTCAGTGGCCAAAACCGACATATTTTTCAATGCCCTCTTCAAAAGTGGCCAAAGAGTGTGATGGAAAAGGAAGAACATGGAGAGCACACACAAGTGTTGTGGAGAACATTGGATAAAGGCAGGGTCAGCAAACTACAGCCCTTGAACTAAGAATGTTTTTCACATATTTAAAGAGTTGTTAAAAAAAAAAAAAACGGGAAGAGGAGAAAGAAGAGAAATACGTGACAGAGACCGTATGTGGCCCACAAAGCCTAAAAAAGTTGATTCTCTGGCCCTTTTCAGAAAAAGTGTGCCAACACCCGCCCTAGTGAACCATTTTTAGGTTGCAGGACTAAGGCCTAATCAAGGAATATTCCTTACCCTTCAAGTAGAGAGACCAGACAATATTTGCTTCACAGCATGGCAGCTTTGCTGTAATTCAGTTACTGCTGCCATTCGTCCTCCCTTACAAATGGGCGCTACCCTGTCACGTCACTCTGTGCGGGTGTTATGGACTACATGTTTGTGTTCCCCCAAAATTCATATGTTGAAACCCTAATCCCCAATTAAATGGTATGTGGATTTGGGACCTTTGGGAGGTAATTAGGTCATGAGGGTGGAGCCCCCATGATAGGATTAGTGCCATTGAAAGAAGAGACACAGAACTAGCTGGCTCATTCTCTCTCCACCATGTGAGGATACAGGGGGAGGGCAGCTGTCCACAAGCCAGGAGGAGGGCTCTCCCTAGATGCCAAATCTGCCAGTACCTTGGTCTTGGATTTCTAGGCTCCAGAACTGTGAGAAATAGTTTGTTGCCTTTAGCCACCCAGTCTATGGTATTTGTGACAGTAGTCTGAACTAAGGTAGAGGGCAAGAACTTGTCTTTTTAAAATTTTTTTAAAGATTTTATTTATTTATTTATTTATTTATTTATTTATTTATTTATTTATTTATTTATTTATTTATTTTTAAAGATTTTATTTATTTATTTGACAGAGAGAGACACAGAGAGAGAGGGAACACAAGCAGGGGGAGTGGGAGAGGGAGAAGCAGGCTCCCGGCAGAGCAGGGAGCCCGATGCGGGGCTCGATCCCAGGACCCTGGGATCGTGACCTGAGCTGAAGGCAGACGCTTAATGACTGAGCCACCCAGGTGCCCCAAGATTTTATTTATTTATTTGACAGAGACACAGTGAGAGCAGGAACACAAGCAGGGGGAGTGGGAGACGGAGAAGCAGGCTTCCTGCCAAGCAGGGAGCCCGATGCGGGGCTCGATCCCAGGACCCTGGGACCATGACCTGAGCTGAAGGCAGACGCTTAACGACTGAGCCACCCAGGTGCCCCAAGAACTTGTCTTTTAAAAAGTTCATAGGTCTCTGGGCCATGAAAAACCATATTTAAACCTGATGTAGATCACAAGATCCCAGACTTCTAGCCAAATGCCATGACTAGAGGAAATTTGGGGGATCCTTAGATGAGGATGAGGAAATTTTACATGAGTAATTGGGGACAATGGGGACAAACTGGTGGATTATATAAATGATCCCAGTTCTCCACCCCTTCCTGCATCCACGTCCTTTGCCCTGTGTCTTGCTTCGGTCAATGCAAAATTAGCAGATGTGTCACAAGTACATGCTCGAAGCATGCTAACACACTGGGGCCCTCTTTCTGCTTGTCTCTGCCTTGCTATGAGAAGAACATGCTGGCTCGTCTTGCTCGTCTCAGGAGGAAGAGGAGAGAAACACTGGACCACGCTGTCCTAGACAGGCCCAACTTAGATCAGCTGGTCCACAGACATATTAGTGAGCCAGTCTGGATCATCCAAGTCCCAGCCAAACCACAGACCCTTGAGCAATGCTTGTTGTTGTTACTGGCACTTAGGGTGGCTTATGCAGCAAAAGCTAATTGACCCACTTGTTGTGAGGCCTGTCTAGGTGAGATTATGGACCCAGATAAATCAAGACACCAAACTCCTCCATACTTTTAACCCTGCTCAGTCTCATTTGGCGGAATCTCACCCAGATGCCTACATGATCTGGGTTTTTTTACTTTATTTTTTTATTTTTTAAAAGATTTTATTTATTTATTTGACAGAGACAGAGACAGTGAGAGCAGGAACACAAGCAGGGGGAGTGGGAGAGGGAGAAGCAGGCTTCCCGCTGAGCAGGGAGCCTAATGTGGGACTTGATCCCAGGACTCTGGGATCATGACTTGAGCCGAAGGCAGCCACTTAACAACTGAGCCACGCAGACGCCCTTTACTTTATTTTTTAAATAACATTTTATTTATTTATGGGGCGCTTGGGTGGCTCAGTCGGTTAAGCGTCTGCTTTTGACTCAGGTCATGATTCCAGCTGGGATCGAGGCCAGCATCAGGCTCCTTGCTCAGCAGGGATTCTGCTTCTCCCTCTCCCTCTGCTGCTCCCCCTGCCTGTGCTTGCTCTCTCTCTTTATTTGAGAGAGAGAGGGAGAGAGAGAGAGAGAGAAAGCAAGCATGAGTGTGGGGGAGGGGCAGGGAGAGAGGGAGAAACAGACTCCCACTGAGCAGAGAGTCCGACCAGGGTCTCCATCCCAGGACCCTGACATCATGACCTGAGCCAAAAGAAGACGCTTTTAATTGAGCCACCCAGGTGCCCCTGGTTTCTTGTCTTTGGAAACTTGGGCCTGGGGTGCCTGGCTGGCTCTGCCGTGATCTTGGGGTCGTGAGTTCATGCCCCACGCTGGGCATGGGGCCTACTTAAAAACCAAAACCAAAACCAAAAAAACTTTAGAAACTTGGGCCTGGAGTATCTTCTTCAGTAAGTGGTATTCATTCCCTTTGCACCTCCAAAGCTTCTTCCATATCCCATTTTCACCCTGAACCTATGTCCTATTTTTCTGGATGTCACAGCACCAGACACAAATTTTAGAAAATATAAATCAGCCATCACTACAGCCACTTTTATTATTTATTTATTTATTTATTTATTTATTTATTTATCAGAGAGAGACAGCGAGAGAGGGAACACAAGCAGGGGGAGTGGGAGAGGGAGAAGCAGGCTCCCCGCGGAGCAGGGAGCCCAATGCGGGGCTCGATCCCAGGACCCTGGGATCATGACCTGAGCTGAAGGCAGACACTTAACGACTGAGCCATCCAGGGCCCCAACTACAGCCACTTTTAATATCACTGCCATATGCAAAAATGATGTTCCCCAAAGTTGTACGTTTTACAATCAAGATCACATTGCTATGGCCAGCTGCAGACCACATCACACCACATCGGGGATTCTGGAGGAAAGGGGATCTTTGTTACACAGCAGCAGAGAACCTGTGCAGGAAAGTAGAAAAGAGAATGTGTACCCAATGAATTGGATAGTCAAGCTAAGGAGATGTGAAGGCAGTGTTGAAGGTTGCTGGATTCTTCTAGTTGTTCGTAGTAGGATGTAAGAGGAAGAAACAAGTGTTGACTATAAAAGAGCCAGGACTTGCTGGGTTTGCTGCACGTCTCATTCCCAGCCTCTCTGGATGGCAGACAGGGTTAACATAAAGGAAGGGCTCTGGACAGAGATCAAATCCACGTTGCTGTCAGGAAAACATGGTTTAAAGATGAGACCCAAAGGCATGACTAGAAATGCTCTGTTAAAACCTCAGGAAGATTTATGGTGTTGCCTCATAGAGCCTTTCAAACACACAAAAAGCCTGCTGAGGATCTCAAAGGCATGCCTCATAGATCTTCTCT